GTGGCACCGGCCCCTGCCCGCCAGGCCCTGACACCCTCCAGCTGGAAACCAGGGGGCCCCCCTCGTCCCTGCCCCTCCCGCCACAGGCTGCTCCACTGACGGGGAGACAGCAGGCTCCGATTACCCCACCCCCGCCCCCTGGAGCCTCCGGCTATTAGCAGCCTAGAGCATGACGGGCCGCGTGTGGGTGACATCAAAGGGTTGCACGCATGCGGTTCCCCCTCCATAACGCACATTCCAGAAAGGGGGGAAGAGCTCCCCCTTAGTAAAGAAAAGGTCTAGGAGTTCAGCCTTCCCAATCCATGAAAAATGAAATGCCCCTGCTCATGTATAAAAGGCTTTGTGGCCTCCAGAGCAATAAAATTAAGACAAGACGCCCCCCCCCCCAGAAAACAGGCAGGTTCCCTCAGGTTCCAAGACACCCCCCCACTTCCCACCATTTCACCAGCTACTTAGCAAGGGCGGGGTTTCCCAGTGGGGGAACGGGCAGCCTGACCCAAGGGCCCGCGGGTGAGAAATAGCAACAGCTGGGCTTGGCAGGAAACCAGATCCCCCGAGAGATCTGCAAGAGGCAAAGGCCCGCTGGGGCCGGAGTGGCAGGTAGTGGTAGCAGCAGCCGCCAGGCTCACTCAAGGAAAGAGGGTGGATGGTCAGCCAGTGGCCTTCTGGAAAGCAGAAGCCCAGGCGGCTGGGGAGGGAGCAGGTGGGCCACCTCAGGCTTTAGGACCAGAGTCCAGAGGAACTTTGCCAGTGTGAATGGGCAATCTCCTGCCCAAAGCCCTCCATGTCCCAGCAGTTGGCTCAGGTGGGGAAGCTGGAGCAAGACACGGAAGGCAGGGGTCAGAGCTATAGGATAGCACTCGGCCCTTTAACCAGGAGGAGGAAGGGGAAGAGGAAGAGCAGGGGTCCTCTCCTGGGTAGGTGAACCCCCTCCCAGAGGGAGAAGTCAGGAAAACTGAAGAGGATCAGGATGCCAACAAGGGGGGAGTTTCCTTGAGTTCCCTGCCCAGGAAAAGGACTCAACAATTAGGAGAATGCAGCCTGGGGGCATGGAAAGGCTGCACTCGCAGCCTCTGGCCAAATGCAATCAGCTTTTTCTCTTGAGCTGCAGGACTGTGCCCATCCAGGACAATGCCTGGGTGGGGCTCAAGGCAGGGTCTGGAGGGTCCCGCGGGAAGAACACCTGGGCAGAATTGCTCAGAGCAGCTCCATTCCCACCGAGCAGGCACAACGCACAGGCTGGGCTACTTCCCTGCCAGTGTGTGATCAGCATGACCCCATCTGTGCCTGACCTGATTCGAAGCTGGCATTCATGCTGACTAAACAGGATGGGACATCCCATAGCAAGGGTGCTGGAAGAGGCTCAGAGTTCACGCCACACCATCCTTGAAGCTCCAGTGGGAGGGTGGTCGATTCAAAGCGGAGATGCTGTTTGGGGGGAGGCTTTCTTCTGCCTCTGGGAGAACTGGATGCGGGAGAGGCCATGAGGATGGTCCTTTTCTCAGGGGCCTCATCTGGTCCTGGCGATCGATGCAGGGAGGACTTCCAAAAAGTGAGTCGAGAAGGGGCTCCGAGGGAGAGTTCTTGGCAGATGGGAGCAGGAATCCCGAAGCCGGGGGAAGGCCTGCTCAGAGCGCCACGAAGTAGGCCCCCTTTACCTCCGCTCCAGGACTCCGCACAGCTTGGGCAGGTCCCAGGACCAGAGGGTGGAGCAGCTGCTCAGACCCACGGGGCAACCTGCCTCTGCAAGGCCGACCCTCCTGCCAGCCTGAGGAATCCAGAAGAGCGGAGGTCCCAGATGCCCAAGCAATGGGTCCTAACTGGCTGTCTGTGGGGGGACGCTTTCCACCCAATCAAGCCTCAAGACTTCACTGAGAGGGAAGGTGACCAACTGCAGGAAGATCGTTCCTTGCTTGCTGCTGCTCCTCCTCCAAATCTGGATACCTGGAACGGGGTGGGTG